GCTAGGCCCTCGCTCACCGGCGTCGGCTCTTCTCTAAACCAGTCAGTAGCGGGGTTCCCCCAGCCCTGCCGGGGACAGTGCTAGTTAATTCGGCCAGCGAGCACCTGTCCTCGATCCCAGGCTCATCAGAAGTCTGTCTAGTGCCACAAAAGCCTCCAAGTTACTAGCAGTTACTTTCTGTAAGCTGGTCTCAGCATTTGCTGGGCTCAGTTTTCAGCAGATCCTTAATAAAAACACACAGTAGCGAGCGCAGCGGGCTCCCTCCCTCCCTCGGGGCCAGAGAAATCAACCAGGCCACTTGCCAAATAAGGTGCAAGGCACCCAGAAGCAGGCTCCAACCCCCCCTCCCCCGATCCCAATGGAAGGCAGGCACCTTTGGAATCTCAGCTCCCGCGACTCAGTTTCCCAGCTGGGGCTCCGATTATGCAAAGCACTTAGGCCCCTTGGCACCCATGCAGGTGTTCCCAGCTAAGCACACGCCGAAGTGTTTTGCAGAATCACTGCGCCTGTTTTTACTCCCAGGACTTTGCCTCTCCCCCTCTAGTTAGCTACTGTCCTGAAGGCGAGGCTCAGAGAGGCTCTGAACTCGGGACTCTGCTCCGGGTGCGAGACGACGGCTTCCTCACCGCCCATCCTGCAAACTTACCTGGGATCGGAGAGACAAGCTGTGACGGGGGGAGGGGGGAGGCTGTCTGCTCTGTGACCCGGGGCCCCTGCGCTGGGCTGTGCGATTCCCACTAACTCCCCCACCCGTGGATTGGCCCAGACACCCAGACACCCAGGCCCAGCGTGAGCAGAGAACAAGGCTCTTCCCAGGGGGAGAAACAAAGGGAGGGAGGCGGAGACGGGCACCTGGCTGGGGGCAGGGCCTGGGAGCTGGGCAGTTTTGGGCTGGGAAAACATGAAGAGAAGAGACTAAGCTGAGTACTGGGGTGGAGGGGGGAGATGATGGACCCCTGCCCCAAGGGGTCGGAGGCTGCCTGGCCCGGACTCCTGTAACCACGTCTCTGCTGTATCTTGGAGGAGCAATAAACCCTCCTGTTCTCCTGGCTGGCGGGGGCGCATCTTGCGTCAGCCCGGG